AAAAAAAAAAAAAAAAATGTTTCCAGCTATTCCAAATGGCTTCTGTGGACAATCTTGCCCCAGTTGAGAACCACTGATACAATCAATCTGCTATTATTTGACATTTATATTTATTTTTTTATAATTAAAAACAGTGGTGCTAATAAAGATCTTAACATATATAAACTTAGCACTTTGAATTACCTGCATAGCTTAAATTCCTAGAAAGGAACAACATATTTTAAATGTTGATATCTATTCCCAGATAGTCCTCCAAAAGTGTTGTATCAATTTACATTACCGTTTAAACAGCAGAAATGCCATTTCCTCACATCTTGTCCAAGTACTGTCTTTCTTAGTGAAAAACAAAACATACCATTTTGCCCTTTAAATTTGTAAATTCTTTGATTGCTAACCAGGTTGGTAGCTTTTACTATGTTTATTAGTCATTTGTATTACTCCTTTTGTGAGCTGCTAATTAATGTCTTTTGTCCATTCTTGGGTTTGTAAGAGCTAGCAATTCTTTCTTCCAGTTTGTAATTTTTCTGGTAACATTTATGCTGAGTTTTCCTTTACAGAAGGTATACATTTTTTATGTTGTCAAATTATTAGCCTCTTTATTGTGGTTTTACTGTTAATGGTGTCATACTTAGAAAGATCACCTCTGAAGTCTTATACTTCAGTGTTTTATTCTATTAGACCAACCTTCTATTTTTCTTTATTTCTCATTAGACTCTAATACTAAGACTTTGCTACTTCTAGACCAGTGCAAATTAAATTTGAATGTACATATGAATTAACTAGAATCTTATTAAAATTCACATTCGGATTCAGTAGGTTTGTAATGGGACAAGGGAGCCTGTCTTTCCAACAAGCTTACAGGTGATGTCAACTCGGTTCCTAGGCCACACTTTGAGTCACTAGGTTTTAGACCTTCAGCCCTCAGTCCTCTGTACCCTCTACCTCCATTCTCTGATTGGTTCTCCTCTGAATTTCCTTCCTTTCCTACCTACTGTGAATCCCAAGGACAGGAATTTCAACTCTACTTCACCCCTTTGTTTTTCTGGAACAACAACCCTTGCAATCTCCACCCCAGTATTGACAAAGCCAACATTTCTCCAGTCTCCAGCCACAGTACCCCTGAAGGAAATCTTGTAACTGCTACCTTCTTCTATAACAAATGTATCATTTCTAAAGTCCAATCAGCAAGCTTTCACTTTGTTCCTCATCAGCTCCCTTTCCCATTTTTATAGTAACTTTGCCTAAATGTAACCTCCTCAACCCCATTCCACCTCCTTTAGAACCTCTTAGTCAATGAACAACAGCGAAAGAACCTCTTCAAGCCATCTAGTAGAAGTCACAGTTAGCATAGTAACTCTGATACTTAGAAAAGAAATCCGCGAGTTGACACAACCACAGAGAGTCCGAGCAAGGATTGGAACCCATATCTTGTGACGCTACAGTCTTAGTTAGGTTTTATCCATCCGGGCTCTGCTGCCTGGGAATCACAGGAGTCTTCATTGTTCCTGAGAGCTCAATTCTACAATAGTATCTGTATCTGCAACAAAGAAGAGGCAGGCAAATCAATAGCGGTTTTCAGCTCTGGATGGCATATTTGATTCACTCAAGACACTTTTTTAAAATGTCCTTTCCAGGAATTCATGGAGAGAAACTCTGTTCAATTAGTTTTCAGTGGGGCTCTAGGATTTTTAATCTGTTAAAGAGGAGTATTATCCGGACGCCTGGGTGGCTCAGTCGTTAAGCGTCTGCCTTCGGCTCAGGTCATGATCCCGGGGTCCTGGGATCGAGCCCCGCATCGGGCTCCCTGCTTGGCGGGAAGCCTGCTTCTCCCTCTCCCACTCCCCCTGCTTGTGTTCCTGCTCTCGCTATCTCTCTCTCTGTCAAATAAATAAATAAAATCTTTAAAAAAAAAAAAGAGGAGTATTATCCCAAATCAGTGGTTTTCAAGCTTTTCATATTCACTGGACCCTTGGCACGAATCTCCAATCTCTCTGACAGGTCATGTGTGACAGGTGTGTGAGGTCTTGGCCGGCACCACAAACCGCCTCTCGGGTTTAGTTGAAATCTTTGTTATCCCTAGTGCAAATGTAGACCACCTTCCAGAAAGAAGCATTTTAGAAAGAGAACTGAAATTGGCCTAGGGAGTGTTGGTGGCGGGAGTGTTGGATTTACAAATAGTAGCTGTGCTTTCTTCCATGTGATTTCCAGTTTTAAATTTAACTGATTTAGCGAATCTCACACACCAAATAAATTTGTCGGAAATTTTCCTATACTGCACAGTTGGCAATTTAAAACTTCTACACACATGCGCTCTTCTCTCGAAAATCCCATGCGTCTGGCTGGGCGCCTGGGTGGCTCGGTTGGACGGCTGCCTTCGGCTGGGTCATAATCCTGGAGTCTCGGGATCAGTCCCCGCATCGGGCTCCATGCTCAGTGGGCAGTCTGCTTCTCCCTCTGACCCTCCCCCCACTCGTGCGCGCTCTCAATCAATCAATCTTTAAAAAAAAAATAAAATAAAATCCCACGCGTCCTCAGAGCACGGCTGGGTAGCCTGGCACAGCTGCGAGCGCGGCCCCTACGACTCGCGCCGCAGAGACCCGTGAGAGCCACGTGGAGCTCTTACCGCGTCCCGGGGCTCCAGGTGAGCCAAGGACCCGGCTCTACAGCTGCAAACTCGCGTGCCCCTCGCCGGAGCCGTGGCCGAGGGGAGGAGACGCTTCCAGCCGGGGACGCCGGCAACGCCTGGGACCGCGACAGGCGACTCGGTTTTCCTCCGCCCTCCGCCGCCCACCCGCACGGGCCGGCGCAACCCCGTAACCTGGCGCCGAGCGGGCTCCAGCTCGCCCAGGTGCGAAGGGTGCTGAGCCGCCCCGGCCGCGCCGCTCGGCCCCG